CTGTCGTTTTGAGTTCATATAATAAAATGGATGTAACTTCATTAATAATATTTGGTGTTGCTTTAAGTGTTTGGATGCTTGGATATTCTCTTTCTTTTTATTGCCTATTTTTCATTTCCCAAGCATTTAGGAAACTCAAGTCCCCCCCCCCCCCTTATTAACTGATATTCTATTCCAATCTTTGAGGTTCTTGGAAACCATTTTAATTATTGAACTGATTTTTCCTTATTTTGTTATTTAACAGTTAATGTTGAACATTTTTTTCTGTTTTCTTTTGGGATATCTAGTTAACTATTGAACTTTATTTCCAGGTTTTTCTTGGGTCTCTTTGTTTGTTTCCAAAGATGATGCCCCGTCCTCCACCCGAAGATTTTGCCCTCAAAGAGACTAATCCCCACCTTGGTGGTGGGAAGGTCAGTGGTGACAAGCTTACGAGCACTTATGACTTGGTAGAGCAGATGCAATACTTGTATGTTCGGGTTGTCAAGGCGAAGGATTTACCAGGGAAAGATGTTACAGGTAGTTGTGATCCTTATGTTGAGGTTAAGCTTGGAAACTACTTGGGTAAAACTCGTTTTTTTGAGAAAAGGTCGAATCCTGAGTGGAATCAGGTGTTTGCTTTTTCGAAAGATAGGCTTCAGGCCTCATTGCTCGAAGTTACAGTTAAAGATAAGGATGTTGTGAAGGATGACTTTATTGGGAAGGTTTTCTTTGATCTCAATGAGATACCGAAAAGGGTTCCACCAGATAGTCCACTGGCACCACAGTGGTATAGGTTGGAGGATAGGCAGGGAAATAAGGTTAAGGGAGAGTTGATGTTGGCTGTTTGGATGGGAACTCAGGCTGATGAAGCATTTCCTGAAGCATGGCATTCTGATGCAGCTTTTGTTAGTGGTGCTGATGGTCTCGCAAATATGCGGTCAAAAGTATATCTCTCTCCGAAGCTTTGGTATTTGAGGGTCAATGTGATTGAGGCTCAGGACTTGCAACCAGGTGACAAGGGTCGGTATCCTGAAGTTTTTGTGAAGGCTATCTTGGGAAATCAGGCTTTAAGGACTAGGATTTCTCAGGCAAGGGGTATTAATCCAATGTGGAATGAAGATCTAATGTTTGTGGCTGCAGAACCTTTTGAGGAGCCTCTAATTTTGAGTGTAGAAGACAAGGTTGCTCCTAATAAGGAAGAAGTTTTGGGGAAGTGTGCAATTCCTTTACAATACGTAGACAGGAGGCTTGATCATAAACCTGTGAATAGTAGGTGGTATAATCTTGAGAAGCATGTTATTATAGAGGGAGAGAAGAAGAAAGAAATTAAGTTTGCCAGCAGAATTCATATGAGGATTTGTTTGGAAGGTGGTTATCATGTTCTGGATGAGTCAACTCATTACAGTAGTGATCTTAGGCCAACGGCAAAGCAGTTGTGGAAGTCCAGCATCGGGGTTTTGGAATTGGGTATTCTTAATGCACACGGCCTAATGCCAATGAAGACAAAAGATGGACGGGGGACAACTGATGCTTATTGTGTTGCAAAATATGGCCAAAAATGGGTACGAACAAGGACAATCATCGATAACTTTGCACCCAAGTGGAATGAGCAGTATACGTGGGAGGTTTTTGATCCTTGTACTGTCATAACAATTGGGGTGTTTGATAATTGCCATTTACATGGAGGAGATAAGGCTGGAGGAGCAAAGGATACTAAGATCGGGAAGGTGAGAATTCGACTTTCGACTCTTGAAACTGATCGGGTTTACACTCACTCGTATCCACTTCTGGTGCTACATCCAAATGGGGTGAAGAAGATGGGTGAAATTCACTTGGCTGTGAGGTTCTCCTGTTCTTCCTTGCTTAATATGATGCATATGTACTCCCATCCTCTCTTGCCAAAAATGCATTACCTTCATCCATTGACGGTTAGCCAGCTTGATAGCTTGAGGCACCAGGCCACACAGATTGTATCAATGAGGCTAGGACGAGCTGAGCCACCATTGAGAAAAGAAGTGGTGGAGTATATGCTTGATGTTGGTTCTCACATGTGGAGTATGAGAAGAAGCAAAGCTAATTTTTTCAGAATTATGAATGTATTGGGTGGGTTAATTGCTGTTGGAAAATGGTTTGATCAGATCTGTAATTGGAAAAACCCAATTACGACAGTATTGATTCACATATTGTTTATCATACTGGTCCTCTATCCGGAGCTTATTTTGCCAACAATTTTCCTCTACCTGTTCTTGATTGGAGTATGGTACTATAGATGGCGGCCAAGGCATCCACCTCACATGGACACACGCCTTTCTCATGCAGATTCAGCACATCCTGATGAACTGGATGAAGAGTTTGACACATTCCCAACTTCCCGGCCATCTGATATTGTCAGGATGAGATATGATCGATTGAGAAGTATCGCCGGGAGAATTCAGACGGTGGTGGGGGATTTAGCCACACAGGGCGAGAGGCTGCAATCTCTTTTAAGCTGGAGAGATCCAAGAGCCACTGCTTTGTTTGTGATATTCTGTTTAGTTGCAGCTATTGTGTTGTATGTCACACCGTTCCAGGTTGTGGCGCTTCTAGCTGGATTCTACATCTTGAGACATCCAAGGTTTCGTCATAAGCTTCCTTCGGTGCCTCTGAATTTCTTCAGGAGGTTGCCTGCAAGAACTGATTCCATGCTGTGAACAAAACTGATTTCATGTGCAGTTGGACGGAGAGAAAAGGGAATTGAGAAACAAATAGAGTGAGTTTGTTTCTTGTTTATGGTTTAACGACGGGTGTTGGGTTCTGGTATGATGTTTAACCTTCCCGAAGGTAGTAGATTTTGTGGATTTGTGTTTTATCTACATGATTTCTGTTTTAAAACTGAGTTTATCGGATGTTAATTGTAATTTTTTTTAGGTTGTGATTGAAATTTAACCAATGCCGAATCGTCCGTATTTTCTAACCCAGCTCAGAATCCGTGACATTCTATTTGTTTTGTTTAGGCATACCATATCAACACCATGCGAACCATAAATCTTGGGTTTATCTATTATGAATGTAGTTTAGAATCAGCCATCGATCAAAATGCACTTCATCCATATTATTGCATATGAAGTATTACCTGCTTGTGTGTTTTCATTCCTGGAGTAGATAAACTGCATTAAAAAAAAAGTGTATCTTAAATGTGTGGTTCAATCTGTAAGTAGTTTAATATTATTTAAATAGGTTTTGACTTATAAAAACCATACGTGCGATACGAATTATTCTAAATTAATCAAGGTAAAATCTTGGATTATTCTAAATTAGTCAAGGCAAAAGTGTTGAAGTTATATATATTTTTTTTCATTTGGGTGTTCAAACTTTTTTCGATCGATATAAATGTTTAATGTTATAAATGTTATCATTTTAATTGTGTCGATTGTAATTATCGTTAAAAAATCATTATCTGACACATGTTGTGTTTTTTTTAATTATTTTTATTTTTTTTTTTAAAAATTAAAAATTATAAACATAGCCAAATTTATTTAAAATTATAAAAAAAAAATCTCAAAACTTGAACCCATAATTTTACACCCGTTTATAACTGTCATCGACCATCTCGGTCATTTTCGACCATCGGTTTTATTATTGTTTATTTACTAATCAACCATCACTTTTATCGTCATCCCAATTAAATACATAAATTTCTAAATTTTGAACCCTAAATTTAATGAGAAATTGAGTTGAGATTTTAATCCCTACAATCCCACCCGTTGGGAGGAATCACAAGGGACAAAGGGTGGGAGGGAATTTGCAAGAAATTCCTTGGGGAGGCAGGGAAAGCAATTTCGGGGGAGAGGGAAAATGCAGATTCTCTGAGGGGAGGAAGCAGGACCACGCTGGGTATAAAAACATTTTTTTAAAAATATTTTTATTTTTTATAAAATAAATTTTTAAAAAAATATAAACATAATAAGGGTTAGATAATAATTCGATCGATCGTTCACCCATATTATTGATCGAGATATGATAAATTCTAGTCCCAGAATCATTTGATTTATATTTTGTGGATCGATTCTCAATTTACATTATACGGTCGAACCAATGCTTGAAAACAACGACAATGACAATAGACATTATTAAAATATGATTTTATCATATCACAATCAATAAATTAACATCCATTTCAGACGGTCATCAATTTTTTAATTAAAAATGACGAGTTCAAAATATATGAATAATTGAGTGACTATTTATAACTTTTAATAGTCCAAAAACTCAATAAAACATTTTCCTATAATAAAACATCTTCCTATAATAAAGATTTTTTATAATTTTTAATAATTAAGGGAGTTGATAGAGTGACACATTATAACTAAAAGACTATTTCTGCACTTAATCCAAAACATTATATAAAGAAAATAGGTTTAGAAATGTCTGAACTGTAATGTAGTTGTGTTTTTTTTTTGGAGGGGGAGGGGGTTGGGTGGGGAGCGCCACCATAACATCTACGCGTAAAATATGATTTTCCGCGAGGCCATTACTGACATTTCAAATAAACAGTTTCCCTCAAATATTGATTTTCTAAAATAAATAAATGAAATAATTTTTTAATTCAATAATTATAGAAAAATATTTAAATTATTTGTTTTGTTGTCTTTCAAACTTCAAATTTTGTATTTGTTAATCTGGATTGATCTGCGATGTACATTTAATTTTAGTGGTTAAATATTTAAATATGAATTTTCTGTATACATAAAGACTCAAACTATGATTTTACTTAAACAATATTAAACTGATTATCACTTGAATTAATCTCATTAGTTGTATGAAATATATTTTTAATTTAAGATTATAATTATAAATTTTTATTATAATTATAAATATATTTTATTTTAATAAAATTATAAAAATATATTTTCGAAAAGAGCCGCTTTATCTGAAAATTTTGGTTTCATTTATTTAGAAAGGTCATACTAATTTATGAGGAGATATAAAAGGGTTGTCTTTAGTTTCCGTGCATTTTTTTCTTTCTTGTTTATGTTTCTCTCTGTTCTTGCTTGTTTCTTCTCCTCGACTGCTTAGATGGTGGTGGAGGTGGACCAAATGGTTAGCAGAGAACGGTGGTTTCGCCATTAATGGTGAATTCAAGGGCAAGTCTAGCTTAACTTTGGTTTTGGGTTGCTCTTGTTTTCATGGATACTAGTGGAGGCAATTACATGAACCACTCTATCCAACTAAAACAGCACAAACAAAATAATCAACGTCATCTAAATCAGATTCCTTATGCAGTGATGCAATCGTCGTCGTCATCTTCCATCCCTGGAAACTTCATGTAATTTCTTTTGCAGTTCAAAACTATACAAACTCAAACTCAGAACCAACCCAACTTTTTTATTTTCATATTCTTACTTCTTTTCATTTTTTTCCATCATGGGAATCTTTTAAGTTTTTCAAAATTTCATATCCATGTTTCTTCTTTTTCGATGTAAGCAGAAGCAAAGACAGTGGAGCTTATGATTTGGGTGAATTGGATCAAACCCTTTTTCTCTATCTTGATGGACAAGACCCTTCCACTATTCAAGACCAAAGATGTGAGTCTTCTTCTTCTTCTGCTCTGTGAATATAGGAGTTTTTCTGCCTTTTTCTTTCTCTTTTCATTTTCTGTTAAGAAGATTCTTTTTGGAACAGACCAGTTTTGGTAACAGGAAAAGCATGTTCATCTCTGCCAGTACTTTGTTTGACCAGATCCTTTCAGCAAAAGAACTGAGATTTAAACGGAAAACAGTTAATTTTATTTGTTAACATGCTATGTTATGAGTGTTTAAATTTCTCTTTTCTCATGGAATGGAAATTTTCTTGTTGAATTAATGGTTGTAAGACGCAGATAACTCTGGAATGAGGCCCCCGACTCTGAACATTTTCCCTTCTCAGCCTATGCACGTTGAGCCGCCATCATCATCAACAAAGGTGAAACATACTATTATTATTATATGGATGATTTAGTTTTATGTTGGTGCAAGTATTTTTAAATTCTGATTTTCTTAAGTGTTCTTTTCCTAATATTTTGAATTTGGTAGACAAATACAGGATTAGTTTCTCCAGCAAATAGTAGTGGTTCAAAGAGACCATCAGAATCGTCCATGGAGTTGGCCAACGCCAGAAATGATGCTCCACATCAACCAGTTAAAGCTGTCAAGGTATGATTGGCTAGCTCTGAATATAAAAATGGAAATTAATATCTTATTATTTATTTGCATTCATCATCATATAATGGGACTGAGATTCCCATGTTTTGATTTTGATTTACTAACAAATTCATGTTTTAATTTGGAAGCTTGAGGGGATTTGTAAAAGGCCAACATCAAGTTCAGAGAAAGAAGCACCCTAAACACCAGACCCTGAAGTGAATTCTTTGACTCAACTTTTATTTTCTTTTAACTGAAAAAAAAACTGTTGATCTATGAAATTTATTTGTATCATTCCCAATCAGACATTGAGAAGACTTGCTCAGAATAGAGAAGCAGCAAGGAAAAGCAGGCTAAGAAAAGAGGTCATCCATATATATTTTTTCCTCATTTAAAGAAAAGCTTTAATGGAAGAAATTAACCAAGTGTTATTGCTGGGGGAACTTTTGCTGTCAATTTGATGACCGGCTTATATTCAGCAATTAGAGTCAAGTAGGATTAGGCTAACCCAAATGGAACAAGAACTTCAAAGAGCCAGAACTCAAGTGAGACATCAAACATCTCCAGTGTACTTTTATTATCATCATCATCATTGTTTATCTCTATATGTTTGAGTATATTTTTAAGATTTTGTTTCACTGTCTAGGAAGTGTTCTTCGGTGGTGGTATTAACAACATAAGTCCAGGTTTGTGTTCATTATTGTTTTACTTTTTAGTATATTTTTACATATGTATCAACTGGAATTTTATGCTTCAGATGCTGCATTGTTTGACATGGAGTATGCAAGATGGCTAGAAGAGCATCATCGGCTGGTGTGCGAGCTTAAAGCAGCGGTTCATGAGCATCGACTGGAGAATGAGCTTGGGATCTTCGTCAAGAGCTGTTTAGCTCACTTGGAGCAAGTGATGAACCTAAAATACATGGTGGCTAAAACCGATGTCTTTCACCTTGTGTCTGGAATGTGGAAGACTCCAGCTGAACGATGTTTCATGTGGATGGGTGGGTTTTGGCCATCTGAGCTAATCAAGGTGATTTAATTTAACACGCTAACTTAAATTCGTCAGTGAAAAGGAAAAACTAGTCCTTACCATAGATTTATAATTTTTTTACTTAGGTTTTCATTTTGTTATTTTTATTTTCAGATCATATTGAATCAGATTGAGTCACTGACGGAGCAGCAGGTAATGGGGATATGTGGGTTGCAACAGTGGACGCAGGAAGCTCTAACACAAGGGTTGGAAGCACTGAACCAATCTGTTTCTGATGTCATAACATCTGATTCACTGAGCTGCCCTCCTAATATGAGTCAAATGGCTATCGCCATCAACAAGCTCTCCACCCTTGAAGGTTTCGTTAGACAGGTATGTATGTATGTATACACATTACTCCATCATACATACTCCTACTGTATAATCATGGCTTGTGGACCCCCAGCCCATGAAAGATGAATTCGTGGTCACCATATACAAGTGTGCTGGAAATTAAGCCTACCCCCTCTAAAAATATCATGTTTCCTATGAAAGTACTCCATGTCTTACGACCAAGTCTTAAGAATATTTGCATTTTCACACGCTGATGCTCTCTCTCTCTCTCTCTCTCTCTCTCTCTCTAAGTAACCAAGTATTTGAAGGATTTGTTGAAAATGAAATTATCTTTCATTCATCTGTCAAAACCTTATAGATAAGGTAAGTAAAACCATACCCCACAAGTGAATTTGAACAAATTAAGAAAATGCCCTAAATTCTATTCCTTTCCCATTCAACAATTAAAAAAAAACCACCACCAAGTCATGAGTTGATGGCCGATTAAAGTTTATGTAAACAAATTTATCCTCAAAGGCAAGTTAATACATGTTAGTTATAAGGTTACATGGAATACTTTTTGAAACAAGCATGTTTGAATAAGTTACAGGCGGATAATATGAGACATGAAGCTATACTTGGATTATATCAAATCCTGACAGTCCCTCAAGCTGCAAGATGTTTGCTGGCCATCTCCGAGTATTTTCATCGCCTGAGAGCGCTGAGCTCACTCTGGTTGGCTCGACCTCGGCAACAACAATAAAAAACCCTAGCTGAGCAATTATAATATTATTGTCTTCTTTGATATTCTCCCCTTTCTACCGTATAGATAGACTAATAATCAAAATTAGATTCAAAATTTAGGTTGCATGATTAGGAATCTCTCTCATATTCTATTGATTTTTCTAGGCACAATCTCAGGAAAAGGAAACCAATGTGTTCGCTGACATTTCTCAGAATTAATGTTTAAGATGAAGATAAGGGAGATGAGATGAGAATAGAGAAGAAAGTTTGATTCTTTTTATTTCATTAAATTCATTAGAATAGAGAATAATTAATTGTTACTATTAATACGTTGATTGATGGACTTTGTAAAGTAGGGAGGTAAGAACAAGGGTTGAATTTGATGGAACGACAACAAGGAGGGTTGCATTTGATGGAACGACAACCTACAAGAAGCATTGCAACCTCCTAGAAGTAGACCAAACCCACTTTTTTTTTTTTTTAAACTGGTGACTAAAAATAAATAAAACTTCAAATTATGATCTTAATTTTAAATTAATCATTAAACTTTTGAATGTTTTAATTTTATCCCTAAACTATGACCATCATTTTAAATTAGTCCTTAAACTTTTAAACATTTCAATTTCATCCCTAAACTATGACTTTCATTCTAAATTATTCCCCAAACTTTTTGAATATTATAGTTTCATCCCAAACTATACGTATAAACTAATCATATCCCTTGTAAATACAATCGTTAGGCCAAGTTATATTACATATGTCTAAAAAACAAAATTGAGATTAAGTTATGGTTGGAATTAATTACATATTTGGATGAGTTTGGGGATGAAATTGGAATATTCAAAAGTTTGGGGACTAATATAGAAAGAATGTTATAGTTTAGGGATGAAATTAAAATGTTTAAAAGTTAGGACTAATTTAGTTATAGTATGGGGATGAAATTAAAATATTCAAAAGTTTAAAAACCAATTTAAAATGATTATTATAGTTTGAGGACATATGATGCAATTAACTCATAAACAAACGAACACAAACATGGTCATGAAAATTTAAACAAGCACTAACCAAGCGGCCTCGGTGGTAAAGGAATTGTTGTTATTCCTCGAGGTTTCGGTTTCAAGTACAAAGAACGTCAAGGGATGTGAGCATTCAATGTCAAATGATTAAGAATTGTCTTTGAACAGATATTATTTTATACTTACCTCATACTAATAAAGAAAAAGCACGAACCGAATATTAACAAGAGCACAACTTCATTATTTAAATTCAGTTCATTTACACCTCTAAAACTGAAATTCTAGTGTAGAAAGTGGAAGGAATACTTCGTACCAGTCAACTTCAGAGAGTAGTACTAAAATTTGGGTTGTTAGGCATGTTTACAGTTTTCGGAAACCTATAGCTTTTAAACAAGAATGGAAAAGGAGTGTTCCACCAGAGTTAGGGAAACATGATGTATGTTCCATTCCATTTGATTACTCAAAAGCAAAAAGGTTTTGGTTATAAATTTATTGACATAGAAATGGTTGTTTAAGAGATTAAGAAGACATTGGTGGGGCAAAACAGAGGCAGCAGTGCTTAAAGAAATAGTAAAAATAACCCAACTGCTTTTCTATAATTAGTTCAAATGTTGCCACTCCAACCTGTTTTTATAAATTCATTCAACAAAATATGATCTAACTCCCTATGGCCCTCAACAATCTTACAAGAATACAAAGCAAAATGACTTACAGAAACTCTCTTCATTTTCTTGAACGCTTCTTTGCATGTCCACCACCTGAATCGTTCTCAACTTCCCTCCCCCGTTTACCAGCACCCACCGCTCTCTTCGGGGGTCGTCCTGTACTTTTCTTCACTGGGCTTACCTTCTCTTTCCTTCTTCTTCCACTAGACCGTGACCGTGGTGTTGAACTTCGACCCTTCTGTTGACCACCTTTGCTACTGCTGGTTTTCTTCTGCTCAGCATCTCCTCCTTTGCCATTATCAGAACCCTTCAGTGTCTCCGTCAATGCCCCATTATCCCTCATTCTATTTAAGAAATTCGCTGCGCTTTTCTTCTTTGAACTCACATTTGTGTTGTTCTTCTCCTTTCCACCCTTGGATTCCGAGTTCTCATTCAATGATCCGCCTTTGCTCGAAATGGCAGCAGTGGTATTATTGGAATCTGAATTCCCGTTCGCGTTGGTATTATTCTGAGCCTTTGCATTTTTGGTTGCTTTTTTTGCACCAGAAGCGGATCTTTCTTTCCTTCTCTTCGTTGTTACAACAGCTTCCTCAGCGGATTTATCATTCTGCTTCCAATCCAGAGCCGGTTTCTCATTCATCAACGATACGGTTGGCTGCCTTTTCTTCTCTTGTCCAGAAGATGATTTTGCAGCAATTGAGCTGCGTTTGCGACATGCAATCAATGGGACTGATAGTTTAGTTTTCATTGTCAAGGTGAGTGACAGTTCAGGTTCGGGTTTCAAAGGCGTCTGGGATTCAGGCAGCGTGGACGATTGTTCTTTGGGCAATAGGCTTGGATTAGGAAACTGGGTTGCAATCTCCTTTGAGACAAGTTGTCGGAGCTGGATGGCAGCAGCGAATTCAGAGGATTCCTTGCTGAAGAAAAGGATGGCATTGTTTAAAAGCAAGAGCAAGTCTCTAAAGAACTTGCTTTGGCATCCTGAATACCAACCTTCTTCCAGTCTCGTCTGAATAGTCTCCAAGTCAAGATGTTGCCGAATCAAGTTCAGGTAATCCGGGGTTTCCTGCAATATTGAAAATTAAGGATACATTACATATTTCCACACTGTATTTGTATATTCGTCTCACATTTATAAAAACTAGGGTAAACTATATACTTAGTATCAACTATAATTTTTGTTCCGTATTAGTCACATAATTATTTTTTTATTAAAAATAATATCTAATATTACGTTTTGATTTTATTTTGGTCACCCACTATTAAAATTTTAACAGAACTATTGATATAGTATTCTTTTTAATAAAAATGATAACATGACATTATCTTATAGTGACACGTCAACATCACTGTTAATTTTTTAACGGTGGGTGAGAAGGATGGAACCAAGATACTAACCCGAGGGGGCAAAATATAATTAATCACAAAAAATGAGGGGACAAAATCAAAACAAACTAAAATTTGAAGGTCTAATTTAAAATTTACCTATGTACATTTTTAAATTATAAAAAAATGGGGGCAATGACCCTAGGACAAAGTTATATAAAATTGCTTATTACTTGAACAACATGTTGGTAGAAAAAAAAATTCTTAATTGATTCTTAAAATAAGTTTTTATTTTCAATATGATTTCCCTTCCCCAATCAACCAAATAAAAACTAAACACAGACCCAAGAGGTAGACACATGCTTTTGTTTGTTTTGTCATACAAGCATTACATGTGTAAAGTGTGGTGGATGCAAATTGGGTGAAAACTGAAAAAGAAGACGGACACGACGAACAGCATGGAATACAGAAAAGAAACAGATATCGACCACACTCTCACATCTTACTACATGAGATTTTAAAACAATCAACCCACTAAAACAAGTCTAAGCTTTTTAATAGTAATATACTTGACAAGTCTGCTATCCTACAGTTGTTCACAGGGTGATTTTTTCTTCTTCTAATTTCATTTTTTAATAGTAATATATTTGACAAGTCTGTTATCCTAGAGTTGTTCACAGGGTGATTTTTTTTTCTTCTAATTTGATTTTTTCCTCGATAAACAATAATTAAAATATATTAAAGTTTAACTTGAATAGAGATAATTCTTTAGATCAGTAAGAGAAGAACATTTCTTTTAAGGGTAAACTACACATTTAATACCTCAACTATCATTTTTATTCTGCTTTGGTCTTCAACTGTTATTTTTTTAAAATCATACCTAACATTATGTTTTAGTTTCAATTTGGTCACCTACTGTTAAAAAATTAACAAAATTACTGATGTAGCATGTTTTAAAAAAATCAATGCTGACGTGACATTACCTTATGATGATACGCCAATATTAACGTTAATTTTTTAATAGGAGATCAAAATAAAATCAAAACATAACATTTAGTATGATTTTAAAACAAAAAATAATTAAATGACCAAAACGAAACAAAAGTGATAATTAGATACTAACATGTAGTTTAACTTCTTTTTAATTAATTGTCATGCAAATAAAAATACAACTTAATTTTATATTTTTAAAATAATTATATTAGGTTTCTTATTAACCAACTTTCCAACTAATTTGACTCGTGATTCTATATATTTTTGTAAAATAAAAAGAAAGACTAATCCCATGCATGGGCCCAACCAACATGCAATAGACACGAGAAGGACAAAGAATGAAAGGGATGTTTTCGTCAATTGACACCACTGAAAACCTAGCACCATCCTCTTGACCTACTCTCTAACCTTAAACTAAACGTATTATATCCTCCACAACTATTACTATTAATTAGTCGCGCTAGATGAGATGGACGATCCAGATTAATTTTCAGGATGTGATTAGATAAGATTATAAAATCAAAACTGTTTTCAAATAACCACCGGTATTATCTAATCATCTTTAAAATACCTGACCCCAGCTCAGACAAATTAAATGATCAAAACTTTTTCAATTTTCCTTTTCTTTTGGTTCTAAAAACTTTTTTCAAATTTCAAATACCAGACCACTAATATCCATTCATCTTCAAATTCACCAAACCTTATCGTGCCGACACGTCATCCCCAGATTGGGCCAACGTTATTTGATGGAGTGATACAACATCTCACCCCGCGTAGCATCCAATCAGACCCCCCTCTTTTTTTTAAAAAATGTAAATAAACAATTATTTTAAATTGATTGTTTAAACAAAAATAGAATATTTTGTTTACCTGGCTTTCGAGTCGGCGTTCGAAAAGGGAGCCGATATTATGAAATCGTAAGATCTCGAGAAACTCAACCAACGGTTGAGATCCAACGTACACCTCCTTCATGGCGGGAGATTGGTCCAACTCCCTATTATCCGGTTTGTCCGGTCCATCCGGTGTACCTTTTTTCTTTTCCTTGTCGGACAAGCTCGCCGTGCTCTGCACATCGCTGCTCTCTCTATTAGGTTCATCCCGCTTCGATTCGGCCACTGACTCTGACGAGTCACCCGTTTCCCTCGGGTCAACTGGCTCCTTGTTTTCGGCCAATTCCTTCGCAACAGTATCAGAGCTCCCGTTGCACGAATCTCCTCCCGCAGGCTTCACGCTCTGCACCACCTTCCCCGTCTCACGTCCAACCGGTTCGAACGGTTCCGGTTCAATTTTTGCCTCCTCCATCCCGGTTCCTGGACTCTTTTCCTTCGGATCTGTAGAGTTAAATTCGTTTACCGAATGATTCTCCCGGTCGGACTCTTCCCTGCTATGAACCGGTCTTCGGGTTTTATTTTCCGGTTCGTTCTCTTCTTCCATCTTTTCGCTTCCCTTCTCTCTCTCCAGATCCGATTTTTCAGTTTCTTTTCCGTTCTCTATCAAGCTCTGTTCTCTCTCTTCTTTCAATTTCTGCACCTTCAATTGTAAGGATCTGTAAAAAAAACAAGAAAAACTCGAATTTTGCCCCCCAAAAAAATAAATATTTTTTTTATTAAAAATTGATTTTGTAATTATTTACACGATGGAGAGATCATATTGTTGGATTTCGCGGCGTAGTTCAGCGACACGGAGTTTTCGGAGCTCATCAAGCCAAGGAACGGAGGTGGTGGAGATGTTATTAGTAGTTTTATCATCGTCGCCGTTAATAGAGAAACGGCGTTTAAGGTCTTGAAACATCTGTTGACAAGATAGGGGAGTAAAGAAGAGGGGTTGTTGCGGTGTGTAAGTTCGTTTCTGGAGTTCCATGGCAACGGAGTCCCAACTGTCGTTGCCGTAACGATGAACGGCGCAGGCAAGTAAAAGCCCCTCCCGTGTACCCCATGATTGTTTATCCGGAAAGCCGTGGGGTTTAGCCATGAAAGGAAAAAAAGAAGAAAGAAATAATATTAATAGTATCGGCGACGGTCACGGTTCTTGTTCTATAATATTAGTCTGTTTTCTGAATAATAAATATTTGTTTCCCCATGTACGTGAATGAATGTGAACAGCTACAAGGCAACGCTTAAGCGTTGTTCCTTTTTTTTTCTTCTTCTTCTGTGAATTGTGTGGATTTATAGTTCCGGCTCGGCTCGGATTTTTTTTACTGATGATAAGGACCATCTTCGAATTAACTTAATGATTAATGTATTTATATTATATTCATATTTGCGTTAATTCACTTTGATCTTCTTTCTGTCCTATTTTCTTTATGTGAGGATACGGTTAGTTTTATTTAAAATGACGAAATATTAAAAATATAATAAAAAATTATAATTATAAATATAAATTAAAAATGTAATTAGGATATTTTTATAATTATTAATTAAAATATTAACCATTTAAGATCCTACAAAGATTATATAAGAAAAATATCATAAACTCATTTAAAAGCTCGAAATATATATATATGAACATGCTTGACAATATCGTAACGGTCCTTCGGGTGATCCCAAAATTGTATTTCGACTTGATGTGATGGAGTCGACACCGATCATTTCGAATTAGGTTAATCGGACACCTAAAACTTACCATTTATCTTATCTGCAACTTACCAAAAATTAGTCGAATTCGGTACCAACATGATTACCCGATTGTCTTAATTGCGAAATTTAAAATTTTAATTAAAATTTAAATGCTTGATCCAAATTACTGAAAGATCATTGACAATTATATTATACCAAAAAATAATATAGTAATATGACATCAAGTTTAATCATATATGCAATTATTGGAGCATATTTGAAAATATTAGACTTTTAGTTGAGCAAATTCAAAAGATATTAAGCATTTATTCAACAATTTAAAATATCAGGTCCTTATTTGCGAAAATCCTAAAAGTTTAGGTCCTTAGCCAAAAACAAATCATGTTTCTTAGGTGTGAAGTTTCTTTGAAAAAAAAAACTAACATTAGTTTTAAGCCCACATTTTAGCACAATGGCTTAAGCCCAAATTTGAAGAACCGTTTCTATTATCAGTTACTCCTGTATGAAAATTTAGAATTTTTATTTTTAAGCCCAACGTTTTCTAATATGTTTTCGTTGAAAATTAATGTTTGCAATTATACTTTATTTTGATTAATTTTTCCATTACACTTTAACTTGATAATGAACGCTGTCACTTTATTTTGTTTGATCGGATTTGGTCACTAACTTTTTATTTTTAATTGAATTTTGCCACTTAAACTTTGATTTTGAATAATATGATTTTATAAATAAAACTAAACTTTTGTATTGTTCAACATTTTCAATAATATTTTCCAAAAAAATAAGAAATCATATGCTAATTTCTTAAGTTTTGATATGTGTTAATAAATCAATTTATAATTAATTAATAAAATAAAATATTGAACTATTTTTAGGATTAAATTATATCTTAAAATCATCTTAAATCAATATTAAAATTAAAATCTAATTATTTTTTTAAAATATAAATATTTTTTAAATAAAGTTAGGGTTCAAATTATGATATATACGAATAGAACGAGAAGATACTAATCGATTATGATATCAATGATTATAAGTAAAACATTTAATTGTATAATGACAAATTATTTTTCTATTTTATTAGTACAAACATAAAAATATCTAAGTAAAACTCATTAAGTATTATACAAATTCTTTTTATATGTTATTAATACAAAAATAAAAAATTTATCTAACTAAAACTCATTTTCTGAATTTCATTTTCTGAATTTGAATAGTTATGTTTGAAGTATGTATTTACATTGTTAATGGTTATACATATATTAATAACATAACTTTTTTTGAATAAAATAATATTTACATTGTTAATGGTTGTTAAAAAATATTATAAACATATGTTACTGGTGACAGATCTGAAAATATTTCTTAGACTAAACATACATATATTAATAACATAACTTTTTTTGAATAAAATAATCACAAATAATTTTTTTTAAAATAAATAGTATTAGTAAAATAAATTGTATGTCGTTAAATATTATCGTGTAAACAACTCAAACTGTATAAAAAGAATATGAAAACAAAGTATAATAACAAATTTAGTATCCATACAAATTTACGGTTTGGTTTAGTCCTAAACAAATCCTCTTTAGGTCAAACTTCAAGACCCTTTATCCACAGAAATAAATCACCAAACTATTAATTCCAAAATCATGCATTACTTAACTAAACCCCACAGCTCATGCAAATCAAATATTCTGAAAATATCCTAAAACAATTCAGTGAAAGCTTGAGTAATAGTTGAATTTAAATATCAATGATTCTCTAAGGGTTTAATCGATTAATTCAACAATAACTAGATAAATTATAAAGAAGTATTGATTTTAAAAATATATTCACACGCGGTTCAATCAATTTTTTTTTATTCTATATCTAATTCAATGTTAATAATTGAATCTATTAAACCATCAATTTCATGTTCAATATGAATACTATCCTTTAAGAAACGACACCTTAATTAAAGGTTGAAAAATAGTTAAAAACGTTAAACTCAAATAAAATGTGTTAAAAATCATAATATCTTAAGGTGGATGCAACTTAAAATGTTATCTTTTTCCTAAGATAATATTATCTTTTTCATAAGATTTTCGTTTGATAAATAAAAATATTATATTTTTCGAAATAAAACTAATGTTATGTTTTTTTATCACACTTTAGATTCAATCTCAAAGTTGACATTTTTTAAACTTAAATTAAATTGCGACAACAACAAAATTACTCCAGCACATGAACGTATACATATAGAGACTCCAAGCATCGAATTCACCAGAAATAACAAAAGCCCCAAAGCATTTTCATTTCATTATTCCATGAAAAAGAAAAAGAACTTCTACCCTAACTAAATCTATAATATATCCACTAAACATAAAAAAAACAGTACCCTTTCACCAGTTTAACTTCCTCGATTGTTATGGTGCGTCGGCTCAGCAGTCATCTGGTGGCCTCTTGCGCCTTTTGCGATGTATTCGTCTCTGCCGGCTTGTCTGGCCGCAGCATTGTGGTGATATACTTCTTGCTTATCGAGTTCTGCCAGGCGGATCCTGTCTTGTTTCCTTTGAGTTGCCATTTCTTTGACCATTGGGTCATGTGCTGTTGCTTTCTCCACCTTCTCTTGCACCGTGGCTTTGGTCTTTTCCAACCCAGATATAGCCGACGCCGCTGTGTTGGCTGCTGTTTCCTTTACCGACTCCATTCTTTTCCTTCAACTAAGCAACACTTTAAATAATCAAACTAAGATTTTACTATAAATTTAAGTACATATAGCTCTAAAGGAGGCATCTGGGTTCCTGCCACGTATCCCTCTTATATAAATATACGTGGCATTCGTTCTGCTCATGAATTTTTCTTAGACTGACACGTTCTACTGCAATTGGTGACTCACCGATCCATAAACATCTCACCACCAATTTATTATTAAGGGAAAAAATACACAAGCCTCATGGTTTGATGATATTCCATCTAACTTTTATGAAGAGATGGCAATTGAATAGTTTGGATTGGATTTGAATTAGGTTGTTTTAGATCAAATCATTTTCAGTTTAAATTGTATTTAATTTAGGTTTAATTTAGTTCACATAAAATTTAGCTTGAATTTAATTCGAGTTTATGATTAGTTAGATTGAGTCAAATATTTACTCGGATCAATTAATTTTTGGATTGAATTAATATTAAATTGATCAATTTTCATATTGAGTCAATATTGAATCAATTGGATTTTAATTTGAAACAATATTGAGTTAATATCAAATCCACAAAATTTCAAATTAGGTCAATATTAAATTAATTGATGTTTTAATTGGATCAATATTACATTGATCAATTCAGTTCGAGACAACTTTCTGGGTTAAGTGAATATAAATCGTTTATTTATTTATATTCTTATAAAAAATGTCTTTTTTATTTATTATTTTTATTATTTAGATTCAATTTTAATTTCTAACCTTTCAATGTTTCAGATTTAACCTAAGCTGCACTTTCAATGTTTCAAATTTAACCTAAGCTGCACTCTATAAGGTATGTTAGAATAAGGTATTGAGAGTTAAGAGTAAACTATACGGGTAGTCTTTTATGTTTTCGGTCAATTCAATTTCGATCATTAATATTTTTTAAAAATAATTTTAATCTTTTATATTATTGACTTATTTAGTTTTATTCATTCGATCGTTAAAGGGAGTAAGTCTTATCAATTACTAACAAATAAAAAAAATCCACATGTTTTTTTTTCTTCTTCACCATCTAATACAACATGATTTGTTCGAAGGTTTGTGATACAATGATGCATGAGGTTTTCGGACTCACCGATTATGACAGAGAGATGACATATAAATCCCATGATGACGACCATGGTGACGAAGCCAGTCTGCCGTAAGTAATAGACACAATCGATGTTTTCCATTATTATCTTTGATCCACACCTCTATGACCTCCAACTTAAGTTGGAAGCTCTAAAGTGTAGTCAACAGTAGATAACGTGCAAATCTTTTTTACCCCACTTATGTTTACATCGATGGCCATGAAAATCGCTGCTTCGAAAATTCGCAGTGTTTCGATCTTCTGTTGTACGCTTTATGTGATCTACTACTTGCTATTGTGTGATCGATTCTTAAACGTGTTCTCTATTTCCAGCGAAAATGCTATAAAATAAGTAACAAAGCATTTGATGCATTGGCACATTTCTTTTTTCCTTCAGAAAGGTCCCAAGTTTTATTGATATTATATAGATTACTGCCTCTGACAGTACTAAGATTACAACAGGACCAATTTAAAAACCAAAGTAGAAACAAATAACAGTGTTTAACCCCAGAGAGCACAAAAACTCGCCCATTTCATTACTTGATCAGTAGAATCGATCTTCCTGGGTACCCCTAGTGTTCCTTCTACTCCCAGCGTTGGTAGGCTCCCCACTTATGTTCGTGTCTCCACCAGTGGTGAGGCCAGTACCACCACCACCACCAGAGTTGACGTCATGAACGCCGCCTCCGCCATAGATACCAGTTTCAGCTCTGTTGTATCCGCCTGTGGTGAAGCCAGTACCACCAGCACGTCCACCTGTAGCGTTATGATGGTGGGCCTCTTGTTTCCTCAGCTCTGCATCTTCTTTCCTTTCTCTGGCCATGTCTTTCTCAATAGGGCCATTTGCCTTCATTTGGTCCACCTATAACATCATCACACTCACAGTTAGGTGAAGACCAAGTTTTCAATAAGTATAATAAATCAAATAAGTATAAATATTGTTCTGTAAGATGGTATTTGCTGATGAACTGGGATGCTGGAAATGCAATATTGTTCTCATTAAATAAGACCCGAATGATAGTTCCCACACGTGTTCTGCTTTCGGACATTTGGCAAGCACGTAAGGCGTTGGGTGTTTGTATTTTCTTATAAATAAGTAGATCCAAAGACAAGATTCATTTACGTTTTTACTTCTAGGTTAAGAGCATATATATAGCACTCAACATTTCAGTTGATGGGTGCTTCATCTTTATGAGACACACTATTGAACTTCTTATCACTTAATAGCATACACACATGATTCCGCATTAAATGCCTTTTTGGAGTTTTGTAAAAACTTAATGAAATTTGTCGTGATTGAGATTATAATATTTAAAAAGATATAAATTTAAATGTATTTAACTGAATGTTTTCTGAAATAATACTATTATTATTATAACTTCATCTAAAATTAGATCTGATTATCTAATTTTATTAATAATATTCTTGATTCGATCATAATATTTAAATTGAAATTGAGGTGTTATAATAGTGAAAAAAACCATCAAGATATGCTTCTATCCTGGATGAACACAATCGTTTTAGCACTCACGTTTCATTTGTTGGAACAGTGCGTACATATAGTGCACGTTCAGAATCATTTTTGGTTCGTACCACTTAATTAAATACCTAAGGTTGGTCTTGAACCCAATTATTTTAAGTCGGTTTAACTTAATTTAAATAAAAAACTTATTTTATAATTGAGAATATATTAAAATTTAAAAAAATCGATCTGATTCAGTTTAAATAAATAGTGTGATACATGTATAGGTTTGCATTGGGAAATAGAATAGAATCCAGCTCAGCAAAGTTAGATTGGGCATGATGAAGAAATAAAGACGGTGAACCACGTCAACGACTGATGCCTTTTCCCTTCTTTTTTATTCGTTTTGGGTACAATTCCATTGAAAGTAATATAAAATAGATATAATCATATTTATTTCCTTTATTCTTTTTATTTTTTAACTTATAATTTCATATTAAATTAAATCAAGTGAAAAATAATAATCAACTCACTATACTGACGTCAATTACTGTGTTTTCTTCAATTTCGATATAAGTTATTTTATTTTTTTACGTAAAAGTAAAGAATCAAAAGAATTATTTAAAAATAACAAAATTATTAAAAATTGGAGAAATAGAAATTATCGTTTAAAAGTAGAAAATTATTAAACATGTATTACTATTTCACTAATTAATTAATTTTAAAAATAAACTTCCAAATAATTGCAAAGTTTAATAATTTAAAAAAAATTAAAGGCAAAAAAGTTAGTATGCCTATAAAATAAATTTTCCCTCAGACTCTTTATATATATATAGTTATCACATCATATGTTCCTGAACTATAACCCTCATTTTAAATTGGTCATTAAACTTTTGAATATTCTAATTTCATCCTTAAAATATGACTCATTCTAAATTAATCCTTAAATTTTTTAACATTCTAATTTCATCCATAAACTATGGTATTGTTTTTAATTAGTCCCCAAACTTTTGAATATTCAAATTGCATCCCCAAACTATGAATTTATTTTTAAATTAGTCCCCAGTCTTTCGAATATTCAAATTCCATACCCAAATTCATCCAAATATGTAACTAGTTTCAACCATAGTTTAACCTAAATTTTGTTTTTTCAAACATATAATAATATAACTTAGGCTACCGGTTTTATTAACAATGGATGTGATTAGTATATTCATGTAGTTTGAGATGGAATTAGAATGTTCAAAAAGTTTGGGGACCAATTTAGAATGAAGGTCATAGTTAGGGAATAAAATTGTAATATTTAAAAGTCTGAGAACTAATTTAAATTGATAATCATAGTTTAAGGATAAAATTGTAATATTTAAAAGTTTAGAGACCATTTTAAAATTAAGGTCATACCTTGAATACATGTGATACGATTAACTCGTGTATATATATATAAGTGGAAGATTTGAAACAGATCCTGTTTGCTGGGTGCCGGGCAGCCGGCTATCATGCTCTCCACCCTTTCTGTATTATTATTATTTCTTTATTTATAAAAAAAAATATAAAACGATCAATGTCTCTTTCTGTTTTTATTAATTTTATTTAAAATAATAGCTAAAATTAACAAAAAATGTCGTTGAGATAAAATGAAAGGGTATAATGAAATTAAGTTACGGTTGTTATTTTTGTTTTTGGAATAATTTTTATCTCATCAAGTAATTTAAGTGGTAAAATGGAAGGTTAATCTGCATAGAAGTCTTGGGTTCGGCTAATTACATCTGTAATATGTCATCTGTAATATATGTATATTGTGAGTTGGTTAAAAAATTTCTAAATACATATTACCTTGTAATTATCTCATAATATTTTAAAAAGAATTTTACAACATAGACGATTTTTCTAATTAAAAATTGTTTTTTTTTCTTAACGACAAGTGTTGTGGAAGTCGTATACATCAGACGATGAGTGTTAAATAAATCTCTGGTAAGAAGAAAAAGAAAATAAAGAATTGTAAGCTGTTGCTTATCCCTTTCTCTCCCATATGTTGCCATATGTGACCATTTGCTGTCTAAACTTGGAACATTTCCACACGCTTTCAACATTTCTGGCACTCAAGTGTTTGTCTATCTCTCAGGGATGATGGATCGAACGAGGTAGGTAGGAACAGTCGTTTTTGAAAACATCAAATTATTAGATATTTTAAGTATTTTTTAATATTTTTTTTATTGAAAATCTATTTTTGTTTTTCTAAAATTTAAAAAATTTATTGTCTTCTAACATTCTAACATCAAATTATGCATCGATCCCTGTTATCTCTATTATAAATCCTTAATTTATTAATTAAAAAGACTAGTGATCATCATCATACATATTCACAGTTTCATTTCAAAATTGATCGATTTATGCGTGTAGCTGGGGACAAAACAAAGGAAAATCAAATATAATGTAAAATTGTGACCTAATCTATCAATTGGTTGAATTTTCTATTACAATCTTCTCATATTTTTATTATTATTTTAGCATCAATTTTTTTTAATTTAGTTTAATATTTAATATTTTCAATTGTGATACACGTCATTTTAATCTATTTTTGATGCCTGTTATCTCAACCTATTTCTCTATTATAAAAATATCATGCGATGCTCTAATAACATGTCACGTGACACATAATATATATTAGATTAATTTTAAAAAAAATCATATAACTTTTAGTATTTTAAAATAAAAACCATTAATTTTAAAAAGTATAAAAAGTCCTTTTTAAAAAAAATGAGAAATTGGGGATATTTTTATGAATTGTTGAAGTTTTTTTTTAAAAATAATAATATGTACTACGTGCAACGCATCACATTCCAAGAGTGTTGTCTTATAACCTATTTCTAACGGAAAAATGAGTTAGAATAATGTACATCGTGATTGAAAAATTCAGGAGCAAATTAAAACAAAGAAAAATTGAAGTACCAAAATGACAATGAGGTACGATTTCAGGAGTCAAACATTTTATTTAACCCTTATTTTATCTATGTATATTTTATAACATATCCAAAAAAATCCTATTAATTTTGAACATATAAAATCATTTTCTAAAAGCAATTTATGAATTACATATATACATTCAAGTTCTTGTGATCACTGGTAATTTAAGAATTTAGATACCTAACAGGGCATTTTGAGTACATGTACAAAATAATAAATTTCCGAAACTTCTAGGGATGTAGAGGATATTAAACCAATGAGTTACTTGCTTATTATATGTTAGATTCAGGGTAAAAAGAAAAAACAAGTATAAGTAATTACAGCATGCTGATCTGTAATAAGTATCATCGTTTTGTTTAAGTTAATCTTGATATTTGAATAGCCCAAAACTAAAAGAAATAATAAAAAAAAAGGAGACGGCAAAGGGGCATTTCATGCTATTTTCTAAAAATTGTTTAACTGAAAATTAAATATTTTTATTTATTTCAGGCATCTAAAGTTTTTTTTATCAACGTAGGTATCTAATATTTTTAAAGTTATCTTTTAAAAGATAATTTTGTTACGGTCGTTAAAAAATCTTTAAAGATCAGACAATTAATCAGTGCTTGACACGTAATCTAATTTTTAATTTCTTATAGTTTTTTTTTAAATCTTAACTTTTTCTATTTTTCACAAAACATCCCAAAATTCATAAATGCCTAATTCCTAAATCTCTAAAACCTTAAATCTTTGATCCTTAATCCTCATATCTCAGAAACGTTGACGATGAGTTTCCAAAGGAGGGGGAAGTGTCAACTATAGGGATTTAAGTTTAGATATTCAATAGATTGTGGGGGTTTAGGGACGAGTGAGTGAATATTCGATGACGGCGATGGAGGCTAACGGTGATTATGAACTTAGGGATTATGGATTATGGATTTTAGATTTTTTTTATATTTTTAAAGAAATTTGATTTTTTTAAAAAGTAATACTTTTAAAAATAAATAAACATATCACATATGACATTTTGAGTAGTTGAGATTTTTTTAACGAACATAACATAAATAACTATAAAAAGTTTAGGAATCAAATTAAATAAAAAAATTCTTCAGGGCGATAATAAAATACAATTTTATGAGTTAAAACACTATTTAATCTCAAAATATAATTAATGAGTTATGTTTTTATTAAATTTAGTACAAGTAGTATTGTATTAAATTAAAATTTTAACGTCGATGCAGTAACGGATCCGAATTAATCGATCAATATATCATATACCAATGGGCAATGGTTATATAAAAAAAATATAAATTTTAAAACGAATGACATTTAACCTCTTTTTATAAACACATAGTAATCTGTAAAATAATTCTAAATAAATTAGTTCAAAGTGATAACGATGAATACTTTTAAGAATTAAAATATTATTCAAATTAAAAAATATAATTAACGAATTATGTTTTATTAAACTTATTACAAGTATTAAATATAATGTTTTAAATAATATTTAACCAGTGTTTATAAATACACATCAATCTGTGTAATAATTCTAAATAAACTAATCTAATGTTGGTGGGGACCATTAATTACTCTATTGATTCTTTTCCATTTCATCAGACAACGACTCATCCAGTCCTTACATCCAACGAACAGCTTGGTTTTACCACATTTTTCAATTAAAAAAAGTTAATTGCAACAAACACCCTCTAACTATAGTATAAACTCGAAATCGAACCCTGAACTTTAAAGTGTTTTATAAAAACCCTCAAAATATGAGTATAGTATCGAGTACGTCCATCGATTAGTCTAAACATCAGTTTGCATGTTCAATACCAACTCAATATAATATAAAACATAATTAAAATATATGAATAAAATTCTAAATACATACATACTAAATATAAAGATAATTTAGATATGAAGTGTTGAAAAAAAAAGACGATGTATTTCTTTTTTGTTTTTAACGTTTGATATTCAAGTATTTTTAAATTTTATCCACGTATTTAAAGTATATTTTCCATCATATTTGAACCAACATTTTAAGCTCAAATGCCAAATTTTTTTATAAGTTTAAGGTGATTACGAAGTAGTATATTTCAGAATATTTTTTAATCATTGACAACACACACTACAAATACAACTGCACGAATTATGACCTCTAGGGAGAACAACACTCTTTTTTACCACGAAGATCACTCAATTAGTTGGAACAGATGTTTAGAATCGTTTTGATGTTAAAGGACTAATTTAGAATGTAGGTAAAGTTTGATGTAATTAGCCTTGAAAAACAATAAAGCTTGAAGCTTGAAAAAGAATATCCCATCTCTTAATTTCTCTCCCCCTATATAATCCTCCGTTTTGATACGTGGAAAGCGTAAACAAGTACACCAACTCTCCATCGTGTCAATAATTTGGCATGGAGAATTTGATGATGATGAAGAACCAAACCAGAATGTCTCCTCCAACACCATCATCACTGTCCATCCACAAGGATTCACAAACAATATCGAAGGCAAAGCCGAAGATACGCATAATCCACATATTTGCACCAGAGATCATCAAGACTGATGTCGCCAACTTCAGAGAACTGGTGCAAAGACTCACCGGAAAACCTCCTCAATGCAAAAAGAAACCGAAAAAAGGCGACAAGCCGGTGGCCGCCGAGAAAATGGAGGCGAGAATCGCAGGCTCCGAAACTGCAGGGAGGGTTAAGGTAGAAGATGAAGAAAGTATGTGGGGGAGTTCAGGTGGTTTCTTAAGTGATTTGGATGGATATATTCAGGAGCTTGCTGGTGAATTTCCTTTTGATCCTTCTCATCTCATGCATGGATTTCAAGAAACTCAATTACTTGCATAGTTTGATTAATTTTACAGTTGAATGTTTGATCAAATGTTGGATTTTTTTTTTCAATTTTTATGAATCTATTTGTTTCTCTCTATCGCTTATTATATCTGTTGTATATACAAGAGGTTGACTTCATTTCATGCAATGGAATTTGTTCTTTCTTCTATTTCCCATTTGGACGTGATAGACGCATAGATGAACCGAGGGGCGGGTGGGACAGTCGTCCAGTGAAAATTTAAAATTATCATATAATTTAAAAAAATTTAATATATTTTCTATTAAATTTATATTTTTGCTCTCTTGAAATTTTATAGATCTGTAACCTCTTAAAATTTTAAAGATTCATCATCTAACATAAAATTTATGTCCGTCAATCTTTCCTATATTCAATTATTATTATTTTTAATTTGGAAAATGCATTGGGAACAAATAGAAGTTTGGAAGACCAAACATGAACGTGCAAAACTGTATTATGTTATTCGTTTTGATAATGTCCTGCCTGCTTTGAAAGTCTTTCTTTATTTTATAATTCATTTTATCCTTCAATAACTAACTGACTTTACTTTTTATTAGATAATAATATTTTTTAAAAGGTAAAATATACTATTGGTCACTCAGCCACGTGTTTCATCTTTAGACTTTAGTTAAGTAATTTGTTTCCAAAGCGAGGAATTGAAGCTTTATATATATTCTGTAATGGTTTAAGAGTTTGAGATTTAAATTTGATTAAAAATTGATTTAAAATGAAAAAGTAATTGAAAAAGTAAGAAAATCATGAACTAAAAAATAATATTATTTTAAAATTTAATTTTTCAGATTTTAAAATGATAAAATCTAAACTCGACTTGTACTAAAAAATTAACTCACCAATTCAACTAAACTCTAATAACTTAAAAGTTAAAAAAAAAATTTACCTAATCAAAATTTGACATTAAACACCGGTACCTCTAACACTTACGGTAAACTTTGTAATCAAATTGCAATATTAATTTGATTTGGTAGTGTGTGCATTGTATTAATAAGAAAAATGTCATTTGCCATTTCAGTCACTTTATAGTTAATTTATCAACGTTTTAAATCTTAATTATTATTTAGATATAATTATACCTTTAAAAAGAAAAAAATTGGTTTAATGAAAATTTGGATTTACAATAATTTGGAAATTTGTGTCAAATTCAATTTTGTTTTTTGGAATTTGAGCCCATATTGTTATTGATATTGTCTTTAAGCCACTTGTTTGTTTTGGACGTTATTAAAAATCATACAAGAGACTCCTCTTTACCAAGCGCGCCTTTGTATGATTTTTAAGAAGGTACAAAAGGTCACCTAGATTCAAATTATGATTGAAATAACTGTTTTTTCGTTTTACAAGAAATACTGAAGGCCAATATTAGAGAGATTCTGGGGTTATCCCAAATAAAATAATACGCAAAAGATGAAATGTTATTGTAAGGCACACATATTGTATCGTGTAATCCTATTGGTTTGTCTCTTGTTATATTAGCTGCTGAAAAGAATGATCTAATTATTTTTGGTTAATCCTCGAGGGGCCCCTTTCTGACCGTAGTAAAGCATAGAAAAACTTGTGAAAGATGTTCCTGCTGCTTTTGATTCTGCTGAACATGTTGAGAATAACCTAGTTAGGCAACACGTTATGTGTGTTAAATAATTCTATTTATTTACATTTTTGTGCAGAGGAAAAGTGCTTCTGCTAAGCAAAGGAATAGTAGCCTTGTAGAAAATGAGTTAGATGACGGCCTTCAAGATGATGACATGCGATCAAAGAGGCCCAAGAGGCCTAAGAAGAGTGTTAACGAAAACCTAGCACCAGCAGTTACTGCTGCGTCAGCTTCCGGGCAGGCTCAGCATCGACCCGGGAATGAGTTTGGTTCCGGTGGTTTCGGGACTGAAATGGAGCATAACATGGGGGCATAGTACTATATAGGCGTGAAAGGTACATTTTTGGTGGGAGGGAGAATTGTCTTAGGTTTAGTGGTTAATTTACATTATAAAATTTGGAGGACATGCGGCATAATCATATATTGTATATGTAACCAGCCTCGGTCCAGAAAATGTCCGTTTAGCAACATACCCATAATATATTTAACGAGCACTCCAGTTTGGGTGCTTCCCTTTGGATTGTTTAATAATGATTTCTAATTGGATGTAGGGATGGATAATATATAATTGATTTCTATATATTTAGAGATAATTGTTATAATATTTTTTTATTTAAATTTTTAATTAAGTTTTTATTTTACTTAATAAAAGGAGAATTTATATATATATTAATAAAAAGGAGAATTAAATTTCTCTTGTTATAAAACTGTAATATTTTGTTGGTGAATTTTCAAAATCGATTGCAAACGCACCTTCATTAGGACATTCCAAAATATAAAAGTAAACATATCAATTAAAAATTTATTCCTTGAAGGCTTGTTTTTGCACTAATTACCGCATATTGGACCAACCATTTTTTGTTATTTAATTTTTAGTCAACTAATTCTGATGAAAATTGTGGTGGTTCATTGGTTTGAAATAAAATATATTTCACCTTTTTCAATATATAAGCACCTTACTTTCACTGATATTAGTTTTTTTTTTTGAAATCTCTGCCTATAATTTGAAGCTATCCCCATGATATGAGAGTTAAATTTAGTAAGCTTTGTTGTAAGACAACTAAACAATCCCTTAACATTTCAATTGAAGGTTAATCTGAGAAAACAACCATAAAAGTTGGTTTATTTTATAATTTTTAAATAAACAGATAATGCTTTTAATAAGATTAAATTAACAAACAAAATACACATTTTTATTCTTATGTGTTTTTTAATCGTATCGTAATAACAATCAAGGTATATATATAATTCTAATACGTTTATAATTATTCTTTAATATTGAACCTATCAAGGGGAAAGTCTAATAAAACGATAGAAATAGGCGCAACCGAATAAAAAAAATATAATATTTTAGGTTGAATTCGACCTAAAATGTCACATTATTCATAACATTTCCAGTTGAACTTAAAATGTTACGAATAAGATAACATATTCGGTTGTGACTATAAAATATAATGAAGAAAGTAACATTGTAGGTTAATAAAAACTATTGGCGTAATCTAAAATGTTATACATTTTTATAACATTTTCCATCGTGTATATCTTCGTATTTTTAATCTTAAATTGTCATATTGTACTGCAGAACTATCCTGCTTTACTGATTTGGATGGAATTGGAATACCGCGTCCAAAATAGCTGGCTGGATAAACAAACATTTCTGAAAAATACTCAACGGTTGATTTTCTTAGGAAAATGTTAAGGAAATGTTGTTTGAGACAATGAATTTTTCAAAGTAAACGATGAACAAATAATTAAATAATACAAACCAAATTTAAAAATCTATTTGCTAGCTGTACGATGGTATATATTCATATATATAATAATAATATAATAATTTTGTAATTTTTAAAATTATTTATTTCATTTATAAATGGATTAATTTAAATTTAATATTATAAATTTAGTCATTCAACTATTTTCATAGTTTTGTTTTGGTCAACCAATTATTATTATTATTTTTTCAAAATCACACCTAAGGTTATGTTTTGATTCTGGTTTGATCATCCGTCGTTAAAAATTTAACGGTTATGTTGATGTGTTACCATAAGGTAAACACGTCATCATTGAAAAAATAATCAAGTCAACAATTCTGTTTATTTTTTAACAACGGGTGATCAAAATAGAATAAAAATGAGTGACGTGACATTTTCACCAAAAGCTAAATAGTTGGTAACCAAAAAGGAACTGCAGCACTAGTTGAATGAGTAAATATGTAGTTTATACTTTTATATAACAGTTGTTGATAATATCAATGGAATTTCTTTGGGTGATGTACTAATAGCATATTTAATGTCAACGGAAAACGCCGAGCAAAGTAGAGTAACGTGTTTCTCTTTTCATTGAGAATATCCACTACACTTTCCTGGAAAGAGTGGAAAATTCCCTATCAAATTCATATTCATGTTATCGACACTGCAAAATTTTAATATCTACATGTTTGGGTTTATATTTTAATTATTATTATTTTGCAATATATATATATATATGTATGTGTTCTTCCGGTCCCTTCATAATTACTAGTACTTTGAGTGAAACAAGAAAGATGTATAAGGTAGCAAATGCATCAGAATATCTGGTCATTACAGGCATAGGCATCCCGGACATAAAGCTTGCCAAGAAAGCATGGATACTTCCCGGTCAGTCTTACACCGTCTTCGACCTCTCCCCGGTAAACTACACCTTCGAAGTCCAAGCCATGAGCGCCGAGAAGCTCCCTTTCGTCCTCCCGGCGGTCTTCACAGTTGGTCCTCGAGTCGACGATGAGGCCAGCCTCCTCAAGTATGCCAAGCTTATCTCTCCCCATGACAAGCTCTCTAACCATGTTAAAGAGCTTGTACAAGGTATCATTGAAGGTGAAACAAGGGTCCTTGCTGCTTCCATGACCATGGAGGAGATTTTCAAAGGAACCAAAGAGTTCAAACTCGAGGTTTTCGAGAAAGTCCAGCTTGAGCTCAACCAGTTCGGACTATTGATTTACAACGCTAATGTTAAGCAGCTTGTGGATGTGCCTGGACACGAGTTTTTCTTACTTGGGTCAAAAGACTCAAATGGAAGCTGCTAACCAGGCCAAAGTGGATGTGGCGGAGGCCAAAATGAAGGGGGAGATCGGGTCCAAGCTGAGGGAGGGGCAAACGCTTCAAAACGCTGCGAAAATCGATGCAGACACGAAGATTATATCCACGCAGCGGCAGGGAGAGGGGAAGAAGGAGGAGATAAGGGTGAAGACTGAGGTGAAAGTTTATGAGAACCAAAGGGAAGCTGAGTTAGCTGAGGCAAATGCAGATTTGGCAAAGAAGAAGGCGGGCTGGGCTAAGGAAGCGCAAGTGGCGGAGGTGGAAGCTTCCAAAGCCGTTGCATTGAGGGAAGCTGAGTTGCAAAGGGAGGTCGAGAGGATGAACGC